TTCTGTGCTGCATGAATAAGTCCGGTGCGGCTTACAACAGTAGATGTTTCTGTAATATCCCCAATGGTCTGCCAAGTTTGTCTATAGACAAGACTGAGATTGAAACTGCAATTTCAACATATGGCAGCCATCTTGGAATTAATCCAATAAAATTATTTGGATAATTTTATTTTGGAAATTCCTGCTGTTAACCATATGGCATTTATCACAACATGTCAAAGTTTTTTACTGCAATGTTATGAGCCTGAAATATTTTCCAATCACCGACATCATTCATAATGTGCTGCAGCTACTGGGTGCTGAGGCTGGTGTTGACCCTGTTGATGTCATAGTCTGGTTTACATCTACCTCTGTAGGGGCTCAGTAGTGTGTTTGAGAACAGCCTCCTACATCTACCTCTGTAGGGGCTCAGTAGTGTGTTTGAGAACAGCCTCCTACATCTACCTCTGTAGGGGCTCAGTAGTGTGCTTGAGAACAGCCTCCTACATCTACCTCTGTAGGGGCTCAGTAGTGTGTTTGAGAACAGTCTCCTACATCTACCTCTGTAGGGGGCTCAGTAGTGTGTTTGAGAACAGCCTCCTACACTGTTGTTTTTTTTAACCGTACACTGATTCCTCTGTCGGAGTGTTACTTAGAAAGCTGTTTTGAGAAAAGCCTAATAGTAATATAACTCATGCATATACTAATACTCTGCCCTAATATAGACTATACCACCATATAGATATGGTTGCCCTAATATAGGCTATACCACCATATAGATACAGTTGCCCCAGAAGATGTTCCCTGTGATTTCAAGAAATCATCATCGGCCAGAGTAGCAAACATTCCATCTCACTTATTTTCATGGCTACTGCCCTGCTGTATCAGTTGCTCCCTAAACATATTGATATCAAGGGCAGCAGTTCTCGGGCTAATCATTAGAACTAAATATTTTGAGAGGATATTGCCTGCAGCAGCTGCTGTTTATTTGTTGGTTGTAACGTGATACAGGTTGTTTACCTGGACTGGGGGAAGCTGAGAGGGGAGGGGAAAGAAGGGGAAACGGATATAATGAGGGGATAGGCTTCACAGATCATCCTGTGACTGGTGTCATCCTCATTACTTTACTGAAATGAGAAACATTTGATTGATATTTCTTATCTTAGTCAGTAACTAGAAAGGGCATATGGCTGCCTGGCAGATGTTAGTAAGCCTGACCACCAGCATGTTGGAGGACACCCAGGGCATGTCTCACACATCTTCCTAGCACCAGCATGTTGGAGGACACCCAGGGCATGTCTCACACACCTTCCTAGCACCAGCATGTTGGAGGACACCAGGGCATGTCTCACACACCTTCCTAGCACCAGCATGTTGGAGGACACCAGGGCATGTCTCACACACCTTCCTAGCACCAGCATGTTGGAGGACACCAGGGCATGTCTCACACACCTTCCTAGCACCAGCATGTTGGAGGACACCAGGGCATGTCTCACACACCTTCCTAGCACCAGCATGTTGGAGGACACCAGGGCATGTCTCACACACCTTCCTAGCACCAGCATCCACCAAGGCCAAAACAGATTCACTTATTGTTCTGTGCCATATGCCAAGATACATGAGGTCAAAACACACATCATGAAGGCATGGCACAGATTCATACCTTTCTGAAGAAGGTTTGGGAGTTGCTATCTTTGTTTTACAGACTTGTACTGGACTCACACCAAGGGACATGGTTGTGGTCAGACAGAGAGTCTTTGTGGCAGTGATGGTTGCACTCCTGATCTCTTGGTCACTGTCTACCCTTATGTCATTTTCTACCCTCATGTCATCATCTACCCTTATCTGTTTGATTGGCATTTTAGAAGTCATCATCTATCCTTACGTCACCATATACCCTTATGTCATCATCTACCCTGTCACCATATACATTTATGTCATCACCTACCCATATGTCATTACATACCCTTATATCACTGTCAGGTTGTCATGGTTACAATATAGCCATAAATGTGCAGTGTGTGTGGTGTGGTGTGGTGTGTGTGGTGTGTGTGTGTGTGGTGTGTGTGTGTGTGTGTGTGTGTGTGTGTGTGTGTGTGTGTGTGTGTGTGTGTGTGTGTGTGTGTGTGTGTGTGTGTGTGTGTGTGTGTAGATATGTCATCACCTACCCATATGTCATTACATACCCTTATATCACTGTCAGGTTGTCATGGTTACAATATAGCCATAAATGTGCGGTGTGTGTGGTGTGTGTGTGTGTGTGGTGTGTGTGTGTGTGTGTGTGTGTGTGTGTGTGTGTGTGTGTGTGTGTGTGTGTGTGTGTGTGTGTGTGTGTGTGTGTGTGTGTGTGTGTGTGTGTGTGTGTGTGTTTGTAGATATTCAGGGTCATGGTATAAAGAGTGATACATATGGTTGGGTAAGGTCCATCACAGACTGACTTACCGGCGGTCCAGAGCATCCTGGCACTCCCCTGGAGCCCTGGAGACATCCAATCACAAGAAACACTTACAACAAACATGGTGGCACACACATGTACACTGCCTGGGACTCCAGGTAGAACTGAACTTGCAGATTAATCTATGGATTACGGCAGACATAATGTACAGGAAGTAAATGTTTTACTCAACAATTACATTTAAATATAACACCAGTGATTAATGTACTAGGTTCACCTGCAGCAGACTCAGGGAGCTGGTGATACTTTAGTGGACTTAGCTATATGTTTAGGTTTCTTTACATTTATATTCCATCAGAAAGTATGGAACAAGTAGATGGTGACTATACTTGCAGAAGGAATAGTGGGGTGTAGGCCATGATGGGTGTGACTGCTGAATCTAGAGAGGGAATATTGGGTGTAGGCCATGATGGGTGTGACTGCTGAATCCAGAGAGGGAATTGGGGTGTAGGCCATGATGGGTGTGACTGCTGAATCCAGAGAGAAAATAGTTGGGTGTAGGCCATGATGGGTGTGACTGCTGAATCCAGAGAGGGAATTGGGGTGTAGGCCATGATGGGTGTGACTGCTGAATCCAGAGAGGAAATAGTGGGGTGTAGGCCATGATGGGTGTGACTGCTGAATCCAGAGAGGGAATTGGGGTGTAGGCCATGATGGGTGTGACTGCTGAATCCAGAGAGAAAATAGTTGGGTGTAGGCCATGATGGGTGTGACTGCTGAATCCAGAGAGGAAATAGTTGGGTGTACGCCTTGATGGGTGTGACTGCTGAATCCAGAGAGGAAATAGTGGGGTGTAGGTCATGATGGGTGTGACTGCTGAATCCAGAGAGGAAATAGTGGGGTGTAGGTCATGATGGGTGTGACTGCTGAATCCAGAGAGGGAATTGGGGTGTAGGCCATGATGGGTGTGACTGCTGAATCCAGAGAGAAAATAGTTGGGTGTAGGCCATGATGGGTGTGACTGCTGAATCCAGAGAGGGAATTGGGGTGTAGGCCATGATGGGTGTGACTGCTGAATCCAGAGAGGAAATAGTGGGGTGTAGGCCATGATGGGTGTGACTGCTGAATCAAGAGAGGGAATTGGGGTGTAGGCCATGATGGGTGTGACTGCTGAATCCAGAGAGAAAATAGTTGGGTGTAGGCCATGATGGGTGTGACTGCTGAATCCAGAGAGGAAATAGTTGGGTGTACGCCTTGATGGGTGTGACTGCTGAATCCAGAGAGGAAATAGTGGGGTGTAGGTCATGATGGGTGTGACTGCTGAATCCAGAGAGGAAACAGTGGGGTGTAGGTCATGATGGGTGTGACTGCTGAATCAAGAGAGGGAATAGTGGGGTGTAGGCCATGATAGGTGTGACTGCTGAATCCAGACAGGAAATAGTGGGGTGTAGGCCATGATGGGTGTGACTGCTGAATCCAGAGAGGGAATAGTTGGGTGTAGGCCATGATGGGTGTGACTGCTGAATCCAGACAGGAAATAGTGGGGTGTAGGCCATGATGGGTGTGACTGCTGAATCCAGAGAGGGAATAGTTGGGTGTAGGCCATGATGGGTGTGACTGCTGAATCCAGACAGGAAATAGTGGGGTGTAGGCCATGATGGGTGTGACTGCTGAATCCAGAAATAAGGCTGTGGCATGAGTATGAGGGCCTGCATTAGAAACTCTGTTGTACACAATGTTGTTCTGTTATATTGATGCACTGTTGTCCACAATGTTGATCACATTACCACTTGATGGTTAGCTGAGGAGATTATTGGGCTCTGTGAAGCAGCCTTGACAGTTGCTCAAACAAGATGTAGATCTTGTGATGGGTGACCATCCACACTTGCATTTACACAGATACTTGTACAGTATGTCTGTCACCATTGTGTTGCTGTGTAGGGGTTTTGTATGTTGTGTCACTGTATGGTTGTGTTGTATATTGTGTTACTATATGGTTGTGTTGTATATTGTGTTACTGTATGGTTGTGTTGTATATTGTGTTACTGTATGGTTGTGTTGTATATTGTGTTACTGTATGGTTGTGTTGTATATTGTGTTAATGTATGGTTGTGTTGTATATTGTGTTACTGTATGGTTGTGTTGTATATTGTGTTACTGTATGGTTGTGTTGTATATTGTGTTACTGTATGGTTGTGTTGTATATTGTGTTACTGTATGGTTGTGTTCTACATTGTATTACTGTCTGAATATTTTGTGTATTGTATTACTATACGCTAGAGTTGCATATTGTATTAATGTATGGTTGAATTGTATATTGTATTACTGTATGGATGTCTTGTACATTGTATCACTGTATGCTTGAGTTTTATATTGTTTCACTTCAGGAATGTGTTGTGGAAAGTGTTTCTGAGTTCTATACAGAGGGAAAATGGGCAATGTTACACAACGTTAGTACTCTAGTGTTATCCCCTCCACCTGATGTTAGAGTGGGTGAAATAGTAGTGTCCCCTTCCACCGCAGTACTGCAGGATTTAGACAGACACATATATAGGCCTTGTTTATAATTATAGTGCAGAAAGACAGAATCTCAGATACAGATAAATGTTTATAGCAGAAATAATACCGGAAAACCATTTTCTCCTTTGGAACCCTGAAACGTAAATCATAAACATGTGTAGAGTATCAAGACAACCTCTATAAATATATTTAATCTTTCTGTAGGAAAGATTTCTGACAGTGACTTCTGTCATCTGTTTGTCTGTGGGCTCTCAGTAAGAGGAGGCGACGTGAGCATCCCGCCAAAGCCGCCTCCTCATCCGAGCAGATACAGGATGTGCAGAGATACAATGCCAGCTGAACCAGTCAGACAAAAACACACCTACGCCCTGTAACATTTATTATTATATAAATACTGCATGGGATGTATTTAGTGTGCTGCCCTACACAAGCATTGCCACAATGTCAATAGTTACGTAGCCAATTAGCCCTTCCAGTGGGAGGGGGTGGGTCTGTCTCACATTAATTATTGGGTCTTGAACACAGTACTTTACCGTCATATTACATAGGTCAGTTTTAATATGGCTTCTATCCGATATTTATCTATCTTACTGCACAATCACAGGTACTGTGTGAATAATAAACAGAGGGTCTGAAGCCTCCGCATCAGATGCCGCCAGCCAGGGGCCACAACTCTGCACAGCTGGCAGCAATGGGGCCACATGTTCCGTTCAGCGATGGGGCCACTTAGGTCAGAGGGGATGACAGAGTACATTTATCCCAGATTTCAAATTCCTATCTTGAGGAAGTAGTTCCTCCAGTCAGTTGTATCAGTGTCCAGGGCAGGACAATACAGTTAACACCTGCGACTGGTCAGCACTCTGCACACCTGGACTTGCAGCCCATCATGGCTCTGTGGGAGGCTGTTATGATCTTACTTCGGACCTAAACAATCTATGAAGGCGAGCCTATTGTGATCTTCTGACAGCATAAACAATACAACACAGGCCCACAGGAGCCTGTTGTGATCTGACAGCGATAGCACCAGCCACAGACAACACAAACCACAACGGGAGATCTCTCTGTCAGGCCCCACTGCCACTAGCTCCTATACAAACTAGGGTGGCCACAGTCTCAAGGACATAAGCTTCTTACTCCACAAGAAAGTCATTATTAGATTATCATCCATTTTTCCCTCAGAGTTAAAAAGTGAGGCGATTGGTTTCATTTAAGTATGTCTTTGAAAAAAACAACATTGGTAAATTTTGTCATTTTAGGACTGCTTTAATCCCAACTAAATCTCATTAACTTAACAAAATGCAAAACAAGAGGAGGTTTAAGGGGAGGGTGGGTGGTGATGATAATCTAGTGATTATGTAGTTTGGCTATATCCACCAGGAGGTGGTTATGAGATGATGACAACTGGCCTATATCTACCAAGCTGGCTACAGTAACCATGTGGAGTTGCACCTATAGTGGGTCAGTACTGACTGACAGAGAGACAACACAACAATGAAGGGAGATGCAGTACAAGGAGACGACAACACACACAGCCAGTCCAGTACTCTCCTCCAGTCAAATCACAAGAAACATACTTTCAGAATTTTCTAAATGATAGTTGTTGTTTTAGTAGTGATTGTATGTGAGAGTCCTGGACTGCCTACAGCTTAACGTGGTGACTACATTCATTTCTTACCACTGGCCCCAGATCTCCCTTGTCGCCCTTGGCACCTGCAACAAACAAAGTGTTTTAGTTATTTTCCCCAATATGCTGGTATCTTGTATACACAATATATACAAACATCCTGAAGAGTAGTATGAACTATTTTGGTCCAGTCATTAACTGTACTTTAACAGGATGATATGCATCAGATGTGCCTACCATGATAAAACAAAATGATCACATGGATGTTTTGACTGGCTACAATTATTTGCAACAATGTTTGAGAAAAGATTACATTGTATCTCAACACTGAACAGTGAAACAGCACCATTTAGTAGCTGCTGAAACATCATCCCACACAAATTGCAGGAGCATTAATGGGGGACGAAGCATGATGTTATTGAAGACATCAATAGGATTCCTGGCTTGTGTAGACAACAGTTAGCCAACTGATGACGGCGGTACATTAGTGAGTGTAGCAGAGTCGTAGTTAGTAAATAATCGTCTCTAATGGAAGCGCAGTTGTGAGGAAAGATGTTGTCAGATTCCTTGCTTCATCAGGGAGCAGCGATTGCCGGAGGTAAACAGTCAGCGAGGGGGTACAACCACGGACACACCTGGAGCTCTGGGTGGGAGACACGAAAGTTCACCACCTTTTCAACACATAATATATTTTGCGCAATAGTTTCAGAAACACCTGTAAAAGCTAAGATGATTCATTCTAAGAAAATGGCCGCAATGTATGTAATTTCAAGCTAGTCAAAGATACACATTGTCTGCTGTGTTGGCTCGTAGACACAACAGGTAAACAGACTTAGAACTGACCGACACAAGGATGGGAAAACATTCGACACAACATACTTGTTTCAGTCACCCATCTGTCTACTGTAACATTAACATTTATCTGTGTTGGACCAGACTTACATTGCTCCATGTACACCATTTCCCTCAAACAAATCCCCGGATCTTCTAATCACTCCCTCTTAATACAAATCTCAATACCTTTTCACATTATCTCACAGTTTCCCAGCAATCTGGAATATTTCACCTCCTTCCCGCCAATCTCATCCTCTTTACACCAATCAAATTTTCCCCTCTAAACTCTCGTAATCTCATTCCCTTAACTGCCTTACTGTCATCCCCAAACCCAGACAATCTCATTCCAAAAATTTGACAATCTCCCCAAAACTCTCACAATGTCATCCCCTAAACTCCCATCTGAATCCTACTCATCTAAACTCAGTCTCAAACTCCCACCAATCTCCTGGCACTAATCACCACGCACCCTCCTACTTCCAGTCACCCAGCCGATATCTCCCTGAACAGTAGATAACCATTCATCACTCTCTCCTCCCCAGATTATCCACACACGGCGGCCATCTCCCTGTTTCTCTGAATGCAACTAACCTATATCTTCATGCGCCTGTTACCAAATGGCTTAAATCAATTTCAGATCTTTATATGTATCAAGTGGCTCGTAACTGCATGTGGAGTATTGACAAGACGACCACACCGCTGGTTGTTCCACATCCCCAGTGTCCTGCCGTATGTCCCGCCCGTACTTATCAGGGTATACAAGTGTCTGTGTGGGAGATAAGCTCTCTGCCTCATTACTCTGTAACTACTATTAGCCCAGCTCCTCCAATTACACTTAACTCAAATATCTCTATTGCTTTTTCACATTTGTGTGGAATGTGAGACTACTTGCAGAGTGTGCATCAGAGGCTTGGAGAGAGTCGATGTAGAAATTGTAGTACAATGTTTCCTCCTCAATTCAGTGACTCTTGATCCAGATAAATCTCATGCTATTGTACCTGCCTCCCCCAGCCTCCCCCCTACCCCCCAGTGGGATGAATCAGGGACTTGATATACAACACCCAAGGGGTTCAATATCTCCTACTAATTCTGAAGCAGAATTGACATTTTTCCCAATCACTCTGGTGAATTAATCATTTAATTCTTTTGAAGGCATTTTTTTTGACAATGAACATTAATTCCATTAATGTAGTTCATAAATTAGTGATGCTGTCAAAGGCGTTGAGTGCAATCACTGATGAGACAGCACACCTTGATGCCAGGTAGTCGCCAGGTAATACAAAGGCTGATCTGATGACATTGTTCCGCACAGGTTAGCAGTACAGCACCCACTGTACAGCAACACAATCATTTCTAAAACCATGTCAGGTAATCAACTTTTTGCATCCAAAATACTACAGATTCTGTCATGGCTACAATGTGAAGACCGACTTGGTTGCCTGTCAGTACTGGATATTTGCTGGACATGCAGAAAGCTGTGTCCAAGCTGTTAACATTCTCCTTCACCAAGGATGCTGTTACCACTGCCTCTGGTTTCACACATGAGTTCATATAGACCAGTGCTCTACACTAACTGCCCAACATTGCTTTGTAAGACTTGCAGTTGTCATGGAGACTTGCAGTTGTCACGGAGACTTGCAGTTGTCACGGAGACTGGTCCCAAGTATCAAACCTTGCTCATCTACAGAGATCACACTACCCAGAATCCAATGTGTATCAACCCATGGTAATTGCTGTGTCACACACATATATTGTCACCCACCAACTGCCACAGTCATCTAGTGGCCTCCAACCATCACTGCCACTCAGATCTTCTATTCACCCTACCACCACTGCCACACAGATCTTCTACCCATCCAACCATCCCTTCCACTCAGATCTTCTATTCGCCCAATCATCACTGCCATGCAGATCTTCTATTCACCCAACAATCACTGCCACACAGATCTTCTACCCATCCAACCACCACTGCCACGTAGATCTTCTACCCATCCAACCATCACTGCCACACAGATCTTCTATTCACCCTACCACGGCTGCCACACAGATCTTCTACCCATCCAACCATCACTGCCACACAGATTTTCTATTACCATGACTGCCACAGAGAGCTGCTATCCCCAAACCACCCAGCAGTGACTGCCGTCTCTGGTTTCGTGTGACGGGCAAAGGGAATTTCAGAGTGATGAAACAAAGCATTAGCAAGCTCTGCCAAAATAAATACAATTAGAACATGTTTTTGCTGTTTTTATCACTGACTTGTGATCCTGACATAAGTGGTGAGGAGAAAACTACAGAGCATTATGGGGTAAAGAAGCGATAAGCCATCACCTCCAGTGTAGAGGAGGTGCCAGATGTAGGCCTTGTAGTAAGGCTTGGAGACAGGCCCCGGGCAGCTGCTGCTGGAGCTGGATGGTGGCAGACAGGTGGCCTCCTCTCATCACACTTGCAGCACTCGCAGCCTACACATTTAACTGTGGAAATTCTGTACAAAACTTAAACGTCTGGAAACTGGATTATATGGTTATAGATCAAAGGTTTAGGTCTGCTGTTCCCTTCAGTGGAGGAAATTGGTTCTCTAGACACTGCCATGATTGTGTCAACAAACAGGTTGATTCTTGATCTTATCAGCATCCCTGTAGACTTACGTGATGTATAGATACAACCAGTTGGATGGATTGCAACTTCTTCATTGAGAAAAGATTGATACTTCACCCGAACTGTGGAGAAACTGGCAACATATTCCAGCTATGTCCACATATGTATACATCTGAGCCGAAAGCTAAGGGTTGATATTCTGAGCCTCTTACATCTTATATCTGTATGCTACTACCTTTCATTTCAACATTCTAGTAACAGCACTGCTGTATCAAAGTGTTTGATGTTGTGAACCAGGTAAGAACATTTAAATTATTCCCAAGAAAAGCTGTTTGAGAACAGATCAGTTCCACTGTGCTAGTGGACTAAGAGAGCTGCAGTACATGGTCTGATGCACTGCGAGATGTATAATTTCCTGCCAGCATCCCAGGAAGCAGTAGACAGCACGAGGGCGGGTTGAGCCTATATTTTTACCTTGATTAACGAGGCAGCATCATGCACAGGTATGACGAGGAGGCACAGCTGCCACAGACTGCGACCATTACACAAACATGCAAAACTAACAAATCGATTATGACTTGATTTCTTGCTGCTGATATTTTTAACTGGAGAGAATGCTTTGAGCCATGGCGTCTTTTATATAACGCTTCCCCCAGGTGGGACACAACCTACTTGAACAGCTTCCAAGAGGTTGCCTTCATTCATTCATCCCACATCTATAATGAATGGCATTCATGTTCGATTTTTTGTTTCATGTTGCAGACTGAGCTGAACACGTTGGAAAGTGGCGTCTCACTGTGATGAAGCCAGTCTGAAGACACTCACAGACACTGGGGCTGCTGGACCCATCAGTGACAGACATGATAACAGTGCTGTAGAACTAGCTCACTTAATGATCAAAACGGGGAACCATCACTAGGTAGACAACTACACTGGCACCATGTGCTTCTATGTACAATGGGTCAAAATTTGATGGGAAGATCCTTAACATTCAAGGCCTATGTTGAAACATAGCTATAGCTACCCTTCAGAGAAAGAAGAGCATGTGTGTCTTGTATGAGGGAATGATTAAGGACTGATGTCATTGGGTAACAGGAATGGGTTTCATGGCAGCCATGCAAGGAACCAAATGCAACTGTTCAGCCTGACAAAGAGCTGGAAGGATTATGCTATATACACCCCACAGCAGACCTAGAAGGATTACATCATATACACCCCACAGCAGATCCAGAAGGATAACACCATATACACCCCACAGCAGATCCAGAAGGATAACACCATATACACCCCACAGCAGATCCAGAAGGATAACACAATATAAACCCCACAGCAGATCCAGAAGGATAACACCATATACATCCCACAGCTGATCCAGAAGGATAACACCATATACACCCCACAGCAGATCCAGAAGGATTACACCATATACACCCCACAGCAGATCCAGAAGGATAACACAATATAAACCCCACAGCAGATCCAGAAGGATAACACCATAAACACCCCACAGCAGATCCAGAAGGATTACACCATATAAACCCCACAGCAGATCCAGAAGGATAACACCATATAAACCCCACAGCAGATCCAGAAGGATAACACCATATACACCCCACAGCAGATCCAGAAGGATTACACCATATAAACCCCACAG